CTTCGATTACTAGAATTACAATAAAATCTAACTTAATTACCGATTATAATTTGGGTAAAATATAACATTATATGGTCAACTCTGGTTTCATACCATTGGGTCAATGAGATTGTCCTTTAAAGATCACTAAGGAGGGCTCCACTACCGTAGAAAAAGAAAATTAAACCTCCAGGACAGTTGAAAATTGTGTCTGCCCATGGGAGTTAAAGATTATTATTATGAATTAGGACCTTTTTTTTGTTATATTGGCATTTGGTGTAGTGTCATTGTTCTCTAGGATAGGCCCTTGAATATGATTTTTACATGTTGCCGCGCTTTACACTTTGATACCTTCTAACTGAAGCCATGACGGTAAAGGTGTTTAGAGGATTTCTTTTCTTGGATTTCTACATCTTTTTCAATAAATGTTCATAAACAAATTTATGCATATGCTGGATTTTTCTTGCTCAATTAATACTCCTAAATCTTCCCTTAAAACCCTTAGATTCGTAGGATTATCTTAAAACGTTACAACTCTTGTTCTATCTTCAACTTCCTATATTTCAAATCTTCACGTGTTTGATAATTTTGAACTAGGGTAAAGGAGGGTGAGCCGACATGGGTTCAAATATACACGTTCGTTTGTTAACTATTGTAGTTTCGAAGTAAACAGTATCATGGATCTGTGATCAAAGCAAGAATCAAAAGATTAATGGTCGTATCCCTGATATAAAATCTTACGATTGTTATTTGAGGTCGTATGTTACCTTCAAACTTTCCATAACATTTTTTTTATATATAGGATTCCCTTGTGATCAAAGCTGAGATAAAATTTATCCTTGCAAATCAAGCTAGTGTATACTCTTTTCAATGAATTTGGCAGCGTACAATTGAGACATTGGGGCATCGAATATCCAATTTCTCGCCACAAATTTCATGTCAACGTCATCCATAAACTCCTTTATTTGATTTTACAGCCACCTATTTCCCTTTATCTTTATTCTCTTTGCCTGTTACTATTTCCAGTCCTAATCTTATTCAAATAACATATCTCTAACATTTTCATGTATCAGATTCATTGAACTATTTTAGTGGTGAATGAGAGTGTTGTTCTTTCGAGAGATTTCGAATTCGAGCAGCTATGTCTGCAGAGTGTGTGTACGTTATCAATAGATTAAAAAAATATCTGAATAAATACTACCTTATAATCAATCTATACTATTAAAAAAACATGTTCCTGTATCGATTGCCCCTCTTCTACCAACCGGTTTCTGATTTGATACCATATCTGTCTGCTCAAAGAATGTCTCCGAAACCAGAGATTAAACATGGGTGTGCATGCTATAGGCTGGCTTCCACAAACACCAGATATCAGAAGATTTGATGTATCGAAACCATTATTTGTTCATTGAATTCATTCACTTTCACTCTTTCGTTTTAACTAAAGTTGTAAAAATATATCACACAAAGTGTGGGCTCGAATCAGATTGTGTTTTTGCATTTTGCATGATTTTACAACACCTAAAGCAATGATTCTACCTCCAAATCATGCATATTTCTAAAACATTTGCAGCTTCGTTGGGTTTAACCGCCAACAACGGTATGGTTTAATTTTAAATATAATATATAAAAAAATGAATCTAATGTTTGACAAAATAATCACTATAATTTTTTTCTGAAACACTTTGACTCCTAACGTTTTATTTTGGGGGCAAAGCAATCTCTAGATGTATGAAAATTGTTAGTTAACTAACGGTCAATGATTGTTGTTGAATTGGAAAGTCATGTGTCTAAAGCGATGACGTGATATATATCATGTGTATATAAGTGATGACATGACACATATCGCATATACATAAGTGATGACATGACTCATATCATGCATACATAAGTGATGACATGACACATATCATGCATACATAAATAATGACATGGTATGTGTCACGCGTATACATAAGTGATGACACGCCACAAGCCACGTGTACATAAGTGATGATAAGGTACACGCCACATATACATAAGTTATAATGTGGCATGTACCACATCATCACTATAAGACTTACCACGTTAGTAACAAACATTAACCATTAGTCAATTAACAATTTTCATCCAATCAAAAGGTATTTTATGCTAAAATAAAATGTAGGACCCAAATTACTTAAAAAAATAGACATCAAAACAATTATTTCATTGAACATAATGAATTTTGATATTATACCTTAATTATACAACAATTGAACTTTTAGGTTCGAATTTTTTATGGGGTTAAAAATTAGTTTTCTAAAAATCTCTTAGACATGGAAAATGAAACCAAGACTTCACTTTCATGAATACAATTTTTGAATGGAAAAGGATATGATCTTGATTACATTGGTAAGATCCTGCCTGGAGCTTGAGACGGGAACAGAATCAGAAAAATAATTTGATGACATTGACATTTTGAAGAAGAAAAAAAACCCAAAGTCATAAGACTATGCATTCATATAAATAATTAAAGATTAATCCTCAAAGTTGCAAACTTTTTGTTGTTGATGATGATTTCATATTGGGGTTGGGATGGAATAATTTTGATTGGGAGAGAGTGTGGGTGCCTTGATGCTTAAGCAAAATCCTTTTAGGTCCAACGTCCATTTTATCCACTAATCTAAAGTGATTAGTGGGGTTCTCTTCTTAACCGACACAATGTTTTTAATCCTTGTGATACGATAAGATTCTCTTACATATACATATCTTCCAATATTACTTTTTCTTTAACCTAGTTGTATTTATTTTCATTTTATATTTTACATGATGTTTAATTATAGTATTTATTTTATCCTAATTCTTGATAAACTTATTGTAGATCTTACAGGTTGTTTTGAACTTATATTATTTGATAAAAACATATTATCTTTTATCATTGAGACTACTTTTTAAGTTCAACTTTGTATATATACTTTATATATATATATTAAAAAACGTATTAGTAAGTTTTGTATTGCTTTCAAACCCTGTAAACTTTTCTTATACCTTATAAGATCCGTGTAGCTTGTTTTTAAGTGTGTTTTTTAATACCATGTTGTCGTGTATTTTCAAAGGTAGAATGGGTGGAATTAAGAAGTAACAGTGTAGTGAGGGAGACAAAGGGGGCCTATATTAATCATTTCTTCTCAACCCTAATCACCCTTTTCCAATTACTACTTTAATGCTATAATATATTCCCCGGTTGTTGCAAAGCCAAGCATGGCAGGAGGTGAGGTTGATGGTCCATCTTTGATATAATGCAATGATGAGATTGACTTAGTATCATACAAATTTTCAACTATTTAAACAAATATTTTTAAAAATTTATTGAATAATTTCGGCAGTAAAAAAAGAATTTTATTATTTTTAGAGGATTGAGATTCGAACACCTACATATCTGCAATGTATATAAGAAATTCATCTAAACATATACTACCATAACTATTCAAAAAATATTCTTTGAAACAAAGAAATATTTAATAAATTTAATTTCTATTATTTTACATGTCGATTTTATTTTAAAATTTAAAATTATTTTTTTAGATGAATCATCTCTAAATCTAAATTCAAATCTCTTCTTAATAAGTATAATGTGTCTTATTAGTGACACATACGAAATGATGAAGGTCCACAAATCCATCACAAAATATGAAAATATGTAATTGTTGATTGGAGGAAGCAAAAGAATTTATGTAAGGAAGACATAAGAAAAGACATGTCCTACGTTACAATATACTGAAAACATGGGGGGGGGGGGATCTTGTCTACTACAATAAAACAACACCACATATCATGTTCTCACTATGCAAACCTTACCACAGAGTGCACCAAGCTTGACGTTTTCATATTATAATACATGAATACATATAAAGGGGCTATATTTGATGTTAACGGAGTATAATTATTTAAAATTTAAAAAATATAAAATATATTTAAATTATTAAAAATTATAAGTTTTCTTTTAAAATATAAAATAACAAAATTAATATTATAATAGCATGTGGCATGTAACGAGTAGGGTAGTGTTGTGAAGCGGATTTGAATTTTGAACGAGAGAAGCAGGTGATGAGAGAGGTGAGAGGATTTCGGTGTATAATTATGTTCGGGAAGGATGCATGAAAGTCGGACAAAGGTGCTTGGACATGTACAAAATGAACAACAAAATACCAACGGACGGAGTTATGCAGCACAAGTGGGAGAAAAGAGTTTCTACAAAAGTGCTGGTTGAAAAATAGCATATCTAAAAAATAATATTTAAAATCTGTCCCTAAACTACTTTAAATTAACAAAAAAAAAAACTCATAATTAATAATTTATCTGAAATTTAAAGGTTAAAACAAAAATTAAACTCTTTTACTTTGATTTCACGTCATCAAACTAACATCATCAAACGTCAAAACTTAATAAAACAATAACATAAGTAATCAAAAAAAATTTGAATTTAGTGAGCAAAAGTAAAAAAAAATTAAAAGATGATCATTCCAATAATTTATCCATTTTAAAAAGGCGGTAAGTTTCAGCATCTTACCATAAAGGCCATTATTAGAAAACCATTACCTCAGCATCATCAAACTAAGCAACCAAGCATCACCATTACTTGATATTAGTTGTTAATTTAGGGTAAATACGTTAGGTTCCTTGTGATACTAATTAAAGTGTATCTTCGTGAGCTGTAATTTAACTTGACAGCTTATTTTATGTGAAGAGACCGAAAACCATACTCAATCTAAATAATGTGTATGCATAATGTATTTGCATTTGATCATAACCAATTTTGATGCTTTCATACATTTGTATCATATTCGTACTTCCGTCGATAGGCTGGTGATCAATCCGGCTTACAACTGCACCAATGGAGCATATCCATTCCATAACAGATTTCTTACTGTTACTATGCATTTTATTAAGCATGAAAGATATATCAGATTCTTCAGTTGTGGGTGCCCAAAACTGGGATAACATTCCTTGGAAAGAAAAATTAATGTACCAAATTGACTACATTCTGTATCAAACTGAGACTCGGGTCAAATGAGTACCTGAAAGAAATGTTGTTTTCCTTTAATGAATCCCTCGCTATACGTTATTCGAATATCGCTTCTGTTCCACTACTGGTGATGAAATTGCAAAACTTTCTACTCATCGTAGAATAGATATTGTAGATAATAATCTGAGGGGGTGAAAACGAAATTCTGATAAGAATGTTACTGAATCATCAAAATCCCATCAGAACTGCCATGTATTGTTAAAATCTTCTACTGCTACCCTTCTTCTTCTTCTTCATGTTTCACTTTAAGTCTCTTATTACTTTTAACTATAGTATCTTTTCCCCGCAGTCTATGACAACCAAAATAAGAGAAACGAAATCAAGGAATTGAAGAATGATAATTAGACTTAATAGGAAATCTAAATCTAAATTCAAATGGTTAATCTTTTAACTTACCTTTTCACAAATTCCTTCCTCGTTGTAAATGCAATACATTCATTTACCTCTTCAATGCTCATCACCTCACCAAGCTTACATTTTAGTAAATTTGAAGAATCAAGAAACACAGCAGACTCGTCCATCCCAGGAATAAGCGACAAGTGCTCAACCTTTTCTCTCAGACATTCCATCAAAACGAAGCCTGAAAGTTATTAAAATTGAAATCATAATTTAAGAATCAAGTTCAACTATACCATTCTAATGAAATAATATGCAAAAATTGGATCTAGATGGAATTGATTCATAACACAGAACACAGAAATTTCATGTCTTAGGAGCCTAACAGAGAATAGATTTGTGAAGGAAAATACAGAAAGTTCTAGTACCAGACCTCCTATGTTCTCACCAAATGTTGGTTCAAACCACAAATCACCTCCGGCAAAAGGTACTTCTCTATACTACGGTTCTTTTTCACGGACAATCGAAACAAGTTCAACTATACCATTCTAATGAAATCATAATTTAAGAATCAAGTTCAACTATTCCAATTTAATGAAATAATATGCCAAAACTGGAGCTTGATGGAATTGATTCACAACACACAACACAGAGACTTCATGTCCTAAGAGCCTAATAGAGAACAGATTCATGACTGAAACTACAGAAAGTTCTAACATCAGTCTCAGACCTCCTGTGTTCTCACCAAACGTCGGTTCAAACCACAAATCACCTTCAACAAAGAGTACTTCTCTATACTAGGGTACTTTTTCACGGAAACTCAAAACAAATTTCACAGAAACAAAAAAGGGTTCTTAGCATGATAACAAAGAAATGTATCAAATTGAGGTTTAGTGTATGGTATCTTAAAATGCTACTAACCACTCATGAAGATGCTGGCAAACCAATGACACTGAGAAACTACAATCTTAAATTTCCTCTGAAATGTGTTAATTCAGAAACAGTAAAACTGCAGGAATAACATGACAGCCATTATCTTTCATTCACAATACAACTTACATTAGCTAATAGTAGAAACAAAGATAGCATAATAATTCAAAAATCCAATGTTCTCAAAATTGCTTCGGAAAAACAAATAAATAAGACCAACACATCAAAATATCAAATTAATGCAAGCTTGAAGAACCAAAAATATACCGAGGGCTCGAAGCATCTTCAAATCGAACTTTTGCGCCAATTGAACATGCCCAAACGCACTGGCACGTTTCAAAGCTAGTTTCTTTAAGGCAATCAATAAATCCTGCAAATTAGGTTCGTTTTGATTTAGATTTTCTCAATTAATTTTAAAATAATAATAATAAAAGATTAAGTACAGAAGGATAGCTTACAAGTTCGGATTCAGAGAGTGAACAAAGCCAACTGACATCGTCAATGTTATTATTTCCTAAACCTTCTTTCTCCTTCCCCATAGAAATGGGGCAGTTAAATTATCTCTGGTAGTAAATAACAATGGCGGCTAATTTTTTGGGGAAAGCTCCACAGAGGATTTTGATTTAAGAACCTATGCGAAGCTCAAACAGAAATAATCGATAAACAGATTTGAAGGGTTTTAGGGTTTTTGTAATAAATAGTTTTGTCCGTTTGGGCTTAAAGCCCATTATAAATTTATTTGGAACCAATACACCTATGTTTTCTTTTGGGTAAATTTAATTTTTGGAACCCAACTTTGACATTTATGTGAAATGTGGGTATTCAAACTTTTTTACGCAATTAGATATTTAACTTTGGTATTCATATGTAATATGGTAGTAAAATTTCTAATGGTATAATTAGGTTTCTAATTTTTTTTAGAGCAATTAAGTATCATTTTTTTTACTTTTTTTAAAAACTAAATATCCAACTTTTATTTTTTGGTACGAAGGAGTCAATATAAATTTAATGATTAAACTAACTATTAAAGTAATTCATAATTTTAAATTTAAACTAAGGATTGAATTAATGATTAAATTGATCCAAAAACTTGATTGATACACCGTTAATATTTTGAAAAATACTTAACCCCTCTCTACATAAATTCTAGAATGGTTTGCATGAGAAATATTTTATAGAAGCTAATAAAAAAATCTAAAAGAATTGAAAATCCCACAAAATTCAACAGATATCAACTCCTGATATACACAAGTGGTGGCTGGGTGTCACTTAATAAATGAATTTTAAATTGCATTGCCTGCTCTTTCAAGTTTCAACGCATAGGCTTTATTAATAATCATTGTTTTTTAAGGGAAAAAAAATTAAAGTCATTGTCATATAGATTGGTTTTTCTCCTTTTTGATCTTTTTAATAAAATTGTTGGATCATAATAATCACGTAAAGTCAAAATTTTAATAAACAAAGACTCTAATCATTCCTAAATTGTTGGATCTTTTTAATTATATTGGTTTCCAGGTATAAGTTAATGTAAAAAAAAAGTAACCAAATGAGATATTTGATATAATTTACCCTTAATATAAAAAAATAGATTTTAATGTGACCCGAAATAACATTTATATTTGCCACTGCTTTTAAAGTAGCTCCCCTCCACACATCCCATTCTTGCCCTTTGTTCTTAATTCTTTGGATATATTTGACTCAGAATTAGTTTTATAATAAAGTTTTATATGCCCTTAATTTTTAGTATATAAATATAATAAATTATTTAGGTTTGAATTTAAGTAGTTTGAAATTATAAAAAAAAAGAGCAAGTTTCCTTTTTTTTTCTTTTTAATTTAGATAAAAATGAATTTGCACCAATAATTCAGAACTTTACCTCCTACATTTTCTTGCCTATTTTTTCCCTACTGGAATCGTATGCGCTTGCGAATGCATACACATACATGCAATAAGTCTATTACGATCAAATTTAGCCTCGTTTACTCTTTTTTAACATTATATAAATTAAATAAAAAATAAATGATAATGCATGAACTTTACAAATAACTTCACACATTTTATGAGTTGACATTGTAAAGAATTGACCATCAGATTCATCCAAAGAGCATCATATTATTTTCGGCCAGAAAAATCCAGGGCAGCCACTTGAAATAGCTTTTTTGGATCAGGGAGTAGCTTAACCTGTTTTGGTATACATTTTACATGGCTAACCTTTTTATTAAGAAATCTGTGCTTCTCGAACTAATGTACTTCTTTTGTGTGTTAAGTTAGGGCTCGAGTACTCGATGCCAACATCAGACGTTGAAATGTTGGATGATACAGATGACTCTGGAATTGTGCTTGTTGGGTTCAGATTATTTTGATTCTTGAAACTTTGAAAAGCCAGCGGCGATTGTTGCCTGGGAGCATCGGGAGTTTGATGGCCTTGAGCCTCTTCCGCGAGTCGCTTAAGAAGGTTCATGACGGTGGGAAGAAACCTCGACGAGATAGAGATTAGCCCAGCCAGCTGATAAGAAGGAAAAATGAAGAAACTGGATCAGACTGAATCACGGTTATTCTAACTTAGGCAAGGGAACTAGATAATAGTTCCAAGGGGATGCTAAAGGTTAAAATTTGAGGACATGAATCCAGAGTCAATTAAAGGAGTATGCTAAAGGTCCATTTTCGATTCCAATCTGAAAATGCCATGCACAAATTCAACTTCGACGCAGTAAACAAGAAGTAAAAAATAGTGCATTTTTTTCTCTTTCATACTCACAGTGCCATGTTGAAATTGCCCTGGGATATCCATCTGAACCCACATGGCTTTTGAGAGTAAATATGCAACAAATAGAACCATGAGATAGAGAGGATTCCTGTTTCAGAGAAGCATTATGGGCATAATGATTAACATGATAGTCTAGGATGATTAAAATGTAATATTTGTTCAAAATGTTTCTGAGTCCGGCGCACACACTGCAGACGCAGCTGCTCGAACTAAAGTCCTCTGGAGAGAATAACATTCTCTTTTACCACAAAGGTCACTCAATGAGTCTCAATGTTAAAAATAGGACGCGGGCCTGTAGGCTCACCCACTGCCTCCGGGGATGGTGATCCCCCAGGACTAGGGCTGTAGCCCCAGCTCCTGTTAAAAGCCAGGGTCTTTATCCCTTTAACCCCAACAAAACAGAACTAAAATAGACGAGGGAATAAGAGATGAACTATGGACTATAGATTAGATTAAGTTACCTTAAAAGGAGCATAAATTCATTAAAGCCAAGGACAACCATTGCCATAATTGCCCACGGGGGAGGTAACCAGTTGTTACTTTGCTTGTAAGCCTCCTAAGAAATGAAGCAAAATCGTTAGAGTGAGCTTCTAAAAACCCGTCCTCATTGATATGTCATCTTCCTCCACAAGTAGCATGAATAGCAACCAACCAAGCCTTGGATAACATACCTGTGCTGAAATTGCTTGAGTAACTGTATACTCAGTCTCTGCATTAAACTGTCTCCACAATGACTTGCATTGAACTGGTGTAATCAGGATATTTTTTGGAGAAACCTGATGCGTAAGTGGCTTCTAAATTAGTAACTTCAGTTAGATAACTAACATATTATATTAGTGATAATATCACATTTGACACATGTACTTCGACAAAATGTCCAATGTGGCATTTGTACTTTTAAAATGTTTAATGTGGCATTTGTAGTTTGACAAAATGTCCAATATGGTACTTGTACTATGATAAAATGTCCAATGTGATACCTTTACTTTTAAAATGTCCAATGTGGTACCTATAGTTTGTCAAAATGTTGAATATGGTATTTGAACTATCATTATGTGTATTATTATGGTACATGGGTTAACACCTTTAGTAAATGTTGTACCCGAACTATTATTTTGTGTCTTATTATAGTACATGGATTGACACTGTCAGTAAGTGCCAAATCGCACAGAATGATAGTTTTAAGTGTCACATTGGATATTTTATCAAAGTACAAGTACTACAATAAATATTTTTTCAAAGTACCACACTAGACATTTTATCAAAGTACAAGTACCAAATGTGACGTGATCCCATTATATTATAAAACTAACCAACCAAACCGTTACCTCCTCCCAGGAACTAGAGGCAAGAGGGTCTGAAGATGTTATACTTCTGTCCACTGAAGATGCAGCAGTCATTGGTTCTTCCATAAGAGATGAAAACAGTGTGTTTTCGATTTCATCCGGTTTCTCGTCCAATCGTATGGAAGCCATAACAGATAAGAACCTCAGAGACTGCATATGTAACAATAATAAAAAGTCTCAGACTGCTAATGCGGCATGCAAAATGATATAGATTGAAAGTGGCACTCACGAAATAATCCAGAAAAATACCGCAGTACGAGCATCCTTAGTAATTGTCTTAATGTCTTCTTTTCCAGTCCAAGCTCTTGGCATTGAATCATTGTCATGACTGAAGACAGTTGAGAACCTGAAACATGCAATAAAGCCTTAAATATTACAGATTATTCTAATCAATACTATAATAAGGAAAATTAAAATTAAAGTTCTCCTACCTATCCTTCATGCAGATCAGAACATTTCCAGCTACTTCTCTTGCTTTCTTCTCCACCACATTTCTCGCATAATCCCTCAAATCTTGCAGCATTTTCTCAACTGTCGATTGGTCTAACTCAAAACCAGAAATGGCAGCTGAAAACTCTGATACGGCAATCTCAGACTCACGTGTAAGAAGCTTTCTTATTGAAGCCCAGGTGTCTCTTCCAGCAGCATCAAATAGAGACTCCACTGGTTCAGATAGTGATTTACTAAGTTGCTTCTGAATAACAATAAAATGTCAACATTTTGCTTATTCAATAAAACAATGCTGAACAGTAGATGGAATATAGATCAATGAAAATTGGTCATAGAAGATTGAAATGATAAGTAAAACGAATAATCATGTTTTACTTCTAAATATTAGGGGATTTTTTGCTTCTAGTCCTAAATGTTTGAGATTTGCTATCTCAGTCCTCAATGTTATTAAATCATAAAACTGTCAGTCTTAACATCAAATGTCAAACGGTTTGACAACCAAAAGCTAACGTGCCATTAACTGTGAAAAAAGTAGCAAATTGAGACATGCCAATGGTTCATGGCATTTAAGACAATAAACTTTTTAAAGAAGACATGAAAAAGGGAAAAAATGAATGGTCAAAGTCCAAGTAGAGAGATGAAATACCAGTATTTGTCACTGATGTGCCATTAATGCCAAGTCAGTTTCTATTGCCCTTTTCTTTTGGAAATTAACTTTAGGACTAACAGTGTCAAAAACAGTACTTATACCTATATATAATTACCTCATAGCTAACCATCAACTCAAACAATTTTGCATCTCGTACAGATAATGTGTGGGCATCAATATCACGTCGAAGTTTTTCCTTTACTTTAGAAGTATCCCAATTAGCCTGCTTGATGGCAGCATCTATAAGAGGATCAAATGTACTGTTAGAGCAGATAAACAAATTGAAAATAAAAATAAAAGTACTTCAATAGGGTACAGGTGCATGATAAGTTTCTATTATATTACCTGCATATCCTTGGTCAAATTCAAGCATACAAGACTGGGTACATGTACGAGCAGAAACAGCAAATCCTTCTCCTTTATTCAGCATTTGTTCCAATCTTAACTTGAAATCTTCAAGTGCTTTGAAGCGTAAATGTCCCAACAGGTTAAGATAAGCAGGATGCACAAACTGCTCAATTAAGAAGAGTACAACAATCAGAGGGGATTTCTGTACAATATCAGAACTCCGAAAAAGCTTACTTTTATGACACATACAATAAAGCATCTGAAACCTTACATGCAAAAAAAGAATCCTAAAGCTAAAGGAGAAGCAAAAAGTGGAAAATTCTAACTCAAATCAATCTTAAACAGAATAGAAAGCAATGATATTATAATAAACCGTCAATGCATGAGAGGCCTTATAATGCTTATATGCCAGAAGTTCAAAAACATTAAGTTTATTTGTTAATGAATGTATAGGTCTTATAATGCTTTAAATTCTACAAGACCTTGGACATGTATGAGGCCTTATAATCACACCATGTTTTGGAAAGAAAACTGGTTATGGTAGCCGAAGATTGTTACACATCCATCCTCAAATGAAACTTTAAATTCGTGCTGAATAGTATTAGGAAATTCAGTTTCATTGCCTAAAATCAAGATACCTTCAACCACCTCCATTGGCAAACAAAATCCATTGATGAATGCCAAAAACTACTCAGAATTAAATATTAAAAGCTTCCATTTGAACTAGATGCATGATCTACTTTTTAAAAATAGAATCGAAAACCATAAAGATAGAATGTTGTACTTACATCTAAAGCTTTTGATTCTAGTTGTTTCCGTTTTGCATTTCTTACACCTTGATCAAAGTATAAAGCTTCCTTGTCATATCTATCACAAAAGAAATTTCAAGCGTACGGGAAATATTATGACTAGGAGGGAAAAGAAGGAAGCTCAATATGAACAATAAACTAATTAAACCATTAATTCTTTAAACATCTACATACTACCCAAAGAAGTCGGTGGAGTGCAGGTCAAAGTGTGGTAGCATAATGTGTACACTTAAAGTCATCATTACATATCTATTTTCAACTCAGAAAATTATGCTTTGCATACTGTTAAGTAGTGCTATCCACATCTGTTAAGTATTAGGTTCCCCATGGCCTTGTATTAAAGTTGGACCCCTCAACCTATAATCAATTGGTTTCACGTAGGATGCTTAACATGGTACAGTGGTACCAAAGGCCAAGTTCTATAATGTTTTTCTTCCTACCTAACCCCACAAGAGGATGACAACTAGTGATGAAGTAGTTATTTTTAGACCCTGTGACTACATATGGAGGAGTGATAAGCAGTGTTATCCACATCTGTTAAGTATTTTATGGTCTTAGATTACATTTGAGCTCCTCCACCAATGAACAATTGGTTCAGTTCGAAACTTAACACAGAATTCAAAAACATCAAACAATAATTCATTACTCAACATTCCAAAAATAGTAATAATGATAAACTTACTCTGCAAAGTAGGTTTCTAGGATAAAGCTCAGCTTGCTCCCAAAACCAGATATTGGTCCACGCTGAACAGCTTCTTCAAATGCTAACCAATCCTACTCAAAATTTACAAGTTCAGTTACTAAAAAGGAGCATTCAATAAGCCAAGGAAACACCTAAGTGAAAGAAAGTTGCAACTTGCAAATGTACCTCATTAGAAGCCAAGTGATGGAGCTTCTCATCTGCAATCTCTTCACAACGAACTGTGGCAACCATTACCTGATGCATGGTGGAAGGACATAACTGATATGAAAAGGAAAGAAATGGTATTTGGATTTGAAGATAAGGATAACAAGGAAACCTTGTGTGCAGGAAGATCCAGATCCTTGTTCTCTTTTATAACTTTCCATATCTGCTGTGCGCTAAAAGAGAATCCAGATGCAGGGACAACACCCTGTCTATCACCAGCAAGTCCCCCCGGAGAAATAGAGTTGAAAAAGCGCTGTCTTAGTTCAGAAACCTGCGTAAGAGTATATCAGATGGACTGCAGGACTCTAAAATCTTTTTTTCTCCGTTTTAATCTAATATTCCAAAATAGTTGAACACTCTTGTAGGCTATAGAAGGTTGTATTTGATTGCCAATGAAACACAAATGAAAATTACAATTCTTTTCTAATTTTTATTTTCATTATTATCTAATTTTAACATTAAAATGACAGTTTCTACTCACTCTACCTCCCCCCTCCCCTTCCCCATCCTCGATAAAAAAAAAAGGGATCATGATGCCCAAACCCCAATATTTGGTTAAACAAAGAAACACAAAAGGATTTATCATAACTAAAATTCTTAAACATGAAAAAACTTCATTAACAATAGAGTGGGAGATTACCTGCTCTTTGAACAAATCCTCTTTTTCTTCAAAGCTTGATAAAGCAGTGACCTCCACCTTCACGTCAAACATGAAGCAATTCCTATAACTATAAATAATATACAAACAAAATGCAAAGGAGGTCAGGAAAATGGATATCTTCTTACATTAAAGAATTCACTGAGGGGGGTATCTTTATGGGACTCGGGTTTACGAACTGCATTCCATATCTGCAGTAATCCTCACCAATTAAAATTCTAAAAATGATATAGACAGAAAGTGAGAGAGTAACTGGTGTACAAAGGAACAGGATAGAGAAATCAATACATGATGTTACCTTTTGAATATCTTCCCTAAGGATAGGCTCCAAATATTCAAGAGGAGTCTAAAAATTGGAAAATAAGAATATTTCAAAGTTTTCAGCACAAAGCCAGAAAGAACCACAAAGTTATATAGAAGAAAATGAAATGGCATTAGTCCACTCCTGACCTTTGTTTTATCACGTATAACAAAAAGCAGTGTTGTTTTCCGGGGGCTAAATAATCTCATCATAACCTAGATTAGAACAGCAACAAGCCTATTAAGCACAATAAACAAAGCAGAAATTCAGACAACAGAATTAAGCACACACTATAGTACCTGAAAAACTGTTTTCAAAAGTGGTTTGTTGGCAGCCTGCTCCCGACCAATATCATGACACCACCTATATCGATATCCTATATCTGATTAATACCAAAGTTTGTTTCTAGGATTCTCTCCCAAAAAAAAAAGTATCAAATGTCATAAAAGCCAAACCCACATATGACCATTGAAAAACAACAAAGGATATTAAAAAATAAAACTGTTATTTAAGAACTACGGTTTATTGCAATGGATGAAAGTTTAGAAATTATGCCATATTCCAAATTTTTCTAAAGATGACGTACCATAACATTATTTATGATTCAAGTTTATTTGTTATTAAAACAGGAAAAGGAAAAAGAACATCGCCAGAACTATGAGAGAGTAATCGTAGCAATACATCCTACCATACAGATAAGCATTCATTCTACTGCTATCATTTGGAAAACCCACTCAGGCCAATTAATTTATGGTTGGGTAGGCATGATATTGAAAATTTTAACATTTTCTTCGACACATCCATGGTGAAAGTTTTTAAAAAATCCATGTATTTTCATTCAGTTGCTATTTGGATATCAATAAAACAAAACGAAAGGAAAAAATAGAATAATAGGATATGTAGTGTTCTAATGAAGTCCTTAAAAATGAGCAGTGCGACTGACTATTTCACTTTTGAGACAACAGACCCTTCATTCTTTTCATTCACTAGAATTCTAATGGTGGCTCATTGCTGAAATTTCTCCAGGTTACACGGTTTGAGTCCTGTAAACTCCAATATAATGCACATACCCATCAAATGCATGAGACATTAAAACTTTTATATGGTAAATTACATGTTAATTAGAACAATATCTGCAACGGCCAAGGCAAAAAGGGCACTTTGTTTCTCAAATGTTGTGTCATCCTGAAAATAAAATAAAAAACAGTGAACAAATAGTGACAAAGAAATGTGATTAATGAAACAGAAATGAAGAGAACTACACATGAAAGTTGTCATTTTATATGTAACCATGCACATATTGAGGTGTCCATTACAAAATCAAAATGCCTATATGCTTCAACGTCAGTCTTTATTCGTGTGTATTGGTGAGTGAGTGGGAGGGAGGATGAGTGGGCTTGAGGTACTAAGGTGAACAGCAACAAATATGATTTAAGATATGCATTCAGTTAATCCTCCGAGCAAATACATGTTTAGATGAACATATCTTGCTAAAATAAAACAAATTCTGAGGATTTAACTCCAGTTTGAAGCAAACTACATTCCTAGGGATAGAGGCCACCACCACCACCACCACACCAATTAAACAATTATAGCGTTTGCTTTATTGTTGCAAATACTTTTCCTTCAATAACCAAAAACATTTTAAAAAGGCTGATTACCTCGCCTCTTTCTCTTCCATCAGTACCTTCCAAATCCATGGCAACCGTGAAAGGTTCTATGCCAACACAGTTTGCAATCCAAATACCCTTCGTAGTTTAAATTCTGCAACAAAATTATATCTGTTAACATGTCTAGCGCATGATCAAGAATACAAAGGTGGAGAAAGTACATAAAAAAAGCAACAAGATTTTTGAAAATATTTATTCCTTTGAAGCCATAAACTTTGAAAAATGAAATTGCAAACCTTCCTCTGAATGCATCCATCTCCCTAAAATTTGTCTGGAAAAGATGATTTAACAGGGTGCTCTTCCCTATAAAAAAAGACAGAATTCTGAGCCTACAAGATACATAGACAGTGATAGAGCTAAACTAGCACGCGGGCGTCCCTATAAAACATGCGCCCAAGAAAATTAAACAACAAGTGTAATCAATCTAATGGGAATAGCAATGAAACTAAACTTACAGAACACTGAAGAATCTAACAATTATGTATATATAACAAATTATAATGGAAAGGTAAATGCTAATCACAAGTCACTACACTAGCATTCAAGCATTAACCTTTCAAAACTAACTTTGTTTTGACGATAAAGAAAAGCAAACTTTCTTCCGAAATCCATTAAATTTTGCAGCAAAGTCCAGTGTTTATATTAGAAATCGTGAGAAACTCCCGGCAAGAAAATTCTGAATGTAAGGATTCTCCCACATAGATTATTATACACAAAAGCCGAATTCAAGTAAACAATGTCAATCCATTTCACTTAAAATTCAGAATCATTTTACTATTAACAGAAGAGAACCCAGTATAGTAGAGAAACTCGATTTGCTTGCCAAATTGAAGTGATCGATTAGCTGAAAATTAAAGTAAAATAAATGCTGAAAAATATTTTTTACTATAACATAAATAATAACTAATCCAAGAAACTATAACGATTTAAATATCGACATGCAGGAACCAGAAACAAAAAGAAGTAATAATAATTGTATCCGGAAAGTCGACGCACCGCCACTTTGGGGGCCCATGATAGCTACGACGGCGTAAGAGAGGCCACAGTTAGAGGGCTTAGTGGTCCGAATGAAGTTGTCGAGTCCAACCACATTGAACTCTCCATCTCCATCAATCAACTGAGTGGAGCAACAATGGTCTGTTTCCGCCATCTCCGAGACAGGATCAACGATTCCCAGAAAAGGAAAAACTGAAGAAGAAACAAAGATTGACAGATCTCTAAACACAGAATAAAAAGAAGCAAAATGGGTTTGTTTTCTTTTACAGATATATTAGAAGGGAAACGTGAGAGAAAAGGAGATGATGGATCCAAAGTGAAACAGCGGTAGTGTGCGTGAGCAGAGACTTTGTCTCTCGGTTTGCGAGATTTTCTTTTTGTTTTCTTCTTATTGTCTTTATTTAATTATTTATTTACCTTTTTCCAATAATCGAAATCCTATTTGGTTTATTTATTGGGTCAACTATAATTGTCATCACTTAACTTTGTTCTTAATACTGTTTTGGTCACTAAAGTTTAATTTTTTTAATTTACTCAGTAAACTTTTGATTTCCTCTTATTTTTAATCACTTGGGTGGTAAATCATAAATTAAAATTTTTGGAAAATGACATGATACTCATATGTGTTGATGTTATCTGCTTTTTATTGATATGAAATTCATGTATCATTAGTGATATTTCTCTTTTTTTCTTTTATATTTTTTTCAAATATGAAAGTTTTAGTTTTTTTTTCATCCACGTGCCATGTTAATGTTTCGATTATCATTCTTCAACATCTTCTTCAATCATTCAAGAAACATATAAACTCTCCTCATTATTTCCTATCACTATATCAGTTTAATTTTTTAAAATGACTTTAAAACTCATAAAAACTAAACTCATGAAATTCACATCTCGTTGTTTTGATTTGAAAAAATATGTTTTGTCGACAATAAATAAAAAAGAATATTAAATCAGGGTTTAGGATTAATTAAAAAATAGGGGTCATTTCATAATTTTTAAAAGAAAAACATCCAATCATAATATCGTTATAATAGAAGTAAATTGAAAGTTTATTGAATAAATTTTAAAAATTTAAACTTTACTAATTAAAATAAAAATAAAAAAAATGTTAAGTGATGAAACTTATAATTTATCATTTATTTGGTGCATTCGTGGTTAAAGTGATTGATTGGATGACTTGATGAACTATATTATATTTATTTAGTCTTTAAATTCGATTAATTTTTATTCACCTTAAATTTTGAATTTTTTTTATCTGTTTTTAATCTATAAATTAAAAATAAAATAAATTATTTTAGTGAATAATTATGTATATATTAACTAACTAACTAAAATAACTTAATTAATTAATAATTACAGTAAAAAAAACACAGAATCTTCAATAGCTAGCAGTTTTAATAGTTGTAGGAGTTAATTTTCACAAAAACAGAATAGTATATTATATACTAATGTGGACTAAAAATATAGAACAGTAGATGATATACTAATATAGAAAATTAGTCAAATGCAGGGACTTTACCACAAAAAAACAAGTTTTGAAGAATAATGTAGACCAAAAATCAGGGACTAATGTGAAAGAACCAGCCAAAGAGACTAAACGAATATGTGTCCCATTATTTTATTATAATTTAGTATTAGTAGATCAATTTCAATGTATGTGAAATGTTTTAAGTTTTTATTTTTTTTTATAAATATGGAATAAATATAATAAAATATTTATTTAAAGACTTTTAATTCTTTAATAATGAGTATTTATATTCTTACATATATAATATATGATACGAGATCTAAAAGAATAACAATAAATACTTAATCATTAAATTCGTTTTCAGTTTCTATATTTTAATGAAAATAAAACTCTGAACGAAAAAGGCAAAGTCGACAGTTTGAGAATCCAATGTTGGTTACCTGAATTGATGGTTTAAGACCACTTAAATTATGCATTTAAATTCCAATTATCAACATTATTGGTAGGAGACAACTTGTTCATTGCTTCAAGCCAAATCAAAGGTTTTAATCACGTAATTATCAATTTATATGAATTTATTAATAGTCTAAAGTCTCTGCATTAATCCGATAAAAAAAATCATACGATAAAGAAGAATAGAGAATAATATATAACAATAATAGTTTTAAAATATATATTTTCAATCATATGTTATCCTATGCCGGTATTTAAGCACTTCTTTCGTTTCTCTTCTATCCTTTTTATATTATTTTTTTAATCAAAAAATTATATTATTTTATCACGGAAAACAACACTAATCTTTTTTTGGTACATAAAAGTTTAGGTAAGGGGTGACTTTCCAGTCTAAGGTAAGGGCATACTTAAAATTCAATTGAGATTTACATAGTAATTTACAAATTGTCCACCAAGAGTGACGGTAATAGGATTCAAACTTAGCCTTACAAGCTCAAATTCTTGAATTTCAACCACTTATACCAATACTCATCGACAAACAACACTAATCTTTAACTAGTCATCTTGATTTTTTATTCCCTATAATTTGAGTTATATTATTTTTATTTAATTAGTATTTCTCTTTTTGTATGAAATTGTTGCACGCTATTTGTACGTTATTGTAACATGTTTTATTGTATGTTCTTATAGCATATGCTTTATCTGTTGGAAATGAAATTTGAGGAAAATTATATGCACAAAATTATTGTTAGTGATGCATCATAATGATATATTTTTCTTTCTTGCTTTATTTCCACCTAAAGAAATAACCAACTGTATCTGGCAACTTCTTGGATTTCTTAATGTAAAATATTACAGCTTAGAGCCTAAAGGTCAGCAGAAAGAACTTTTATAGGTGGATTTTAACCGGACGAGGGGGCATTTGTAATCTCATGGAAAGGAATGGTCGATGGCTATATGGACGGCAACAACGACAGCGGTATAAACGATCGATTTCGATGACAGTGAAAATAGCAATCGACAAAGGAATTGGATGATTTGGATTTAAGAATCTTAGGGGCCTTTTTTGATATTTTTGAAACATTTAGTTTTTTTTAAATAATAATATTCTAATTTAATTTTAAAAAAATCAAAAATATATATATGAACATGAAATGTGTCACTTAACGGTTTTTCTTAAATATCGTTACTATGTAAATACCTAAAAGTATAATGGATAAAACGTTAAAAACCTATTTTTAACAAAAATTATTTAAACACAAAAAAATTAACTTAATATATAATTTGAACACTTATTTTTATACTAAACCTTAACATTTTAGTAAAAGTTAAACGTCTAACCAATGTTAACGATCCAATTCAATCAGAGTTTTGGATTTATTAACAAGCCGTAATGGTTAAAGTCAAGTTAATAGATTAGGTTATAAGTCGAAGAAGACATGGGTCAAGTTCTATTAAAAGTGGGTATGGACTGGGTTCAAGCCATAAGCTTTGGCCCTTGGTAGATTTGGGCTCGAGTCTTTCTTAGGTGAATATAGCTTAGGGAGCGTTTGTTGCATAATGTAGGATTACCTTTGAGATTAAGATCACTAGAGTGTAGCATTGCTCTAGGAATATTACATTATTTTGTTTGATTTATTTAACATAGGACTGGTATAGGGCTGTAAACGAGTCGAGTTGAATTCGACTTGACTTGAAAACTTTAAAATTGAGCTCGACTTGATTTGAAAGCTTATGAGCTTAAGATTTTAAAGCTTGTTTCGAACTCGAAAAATCTTGAAGTAAAAAAAAGAAAGCTTATATTTAACTTGATTGAAGCTCAAACTCGAACTTGAACCTTAAGTACATAAAATTTTTATATTGTATTTTAAAAAAATACTAACACATAAATGTTAATATTCTTAATAATTTAATTTTACAACATAAAATTTCAATATATTATTTTTTAGTTGCTTGCGAGCTTTTTGAGTATCAAATAACTTGCTTCGGCTCTGAGAATTTGAGTCGGGTATTGATCAAGATAAACTCGAGTAGCTCACGATATGTCTTGTCTCATTTACAACCATAGTGTATCATAAATGCAAGATTTCAATATTTGGTTTGAAGAATATAAGATTAATTGAATGCATATTTTATCAAATTATTCTTATGATATACGTATTTTTCAACAAGTTAAACTTTAATATTAAATTGTAAATATTTGAATAAAATTTCATAGAAATATTTTAACCGTTGCATTATCTAACTTTTGAGAAAAAATACATTTAAAATATGATTATTATAATTAGTATATTAAACATATATTGTGAAACAATTTTTATAAGTATCATATTTATTTATATATAAAATAAATATGATATAAAAAATAGTATTATGGTCTTGAGTGAATGAAAATATTATTTTTCAATGTATAAGATTCATTTTTAATAACTCAAATTTAGATATTATTTTAAATAAATACTTTTTAAAAATAATATATTTTTCATCTCATAAAATTATAGACAATTAAAATGTAAAATATAAAAATATATAAAATAATTATAATTACTAAAATTGATAATATTTTATTAAATCAAGCCCTTTGTATATTATTATTATGTTTATATTGTTTAGTAAAACATGAAGAATAAGTATTAAAAATATCTATATGAAAATAATTCATTATTTTAGATGTATTCTTGTCCAAAATTATAGAAATTGTTTAGTATCTAATAATTTAAAGATAATAGTCTCACCATTTTAATCAAAAAATATTATTGTTGGTAATAAATTATTACATGGTATGATTTTTTTTCGCGAACTCCCCTAAGGTTAGGCTTAGAAAGGTGTAGGCTGAAACGAGCCTAAACATTGGGTCAAAGACACCTGCAAAACGGCAGGCTTGGTCATGCAAGTGGGTTGGCTGAGAGGGCTTATTGGCTAACTGGTTCATATAGGAGCTGGGTTTGAGAGAAGGGGACCATGTAGAAAATACGTCTGTTAGATGTGGGCTAAGGTCAGTGACGGATTCACATGTACTCAAAGGTAAACACTATCCATCTTAAAATTCAATTTTTTTAATTCGTAATTTATTTTATCAATGATATTATCTTGAAATTTTATTTATATTTATCTCATTTAAAAATTATATATATATATATATATATATATATATATCTCTTCAAAAATATTTACTAGGGCTTTTTGCACGACGATGAAACAATGACGCGGCGGTGCAAACTCGTAAACAGTGATTCAAGGAAGGTTCTCTTCAATCCGATGAATAGCCACTGGCGGCGGGTTTGACCCTTCCGAGGGTCAGTTTTTTATTCTTTCTCATTTCACCTTTTATTCGTAACTCAAAATAGGGAAAGTTAGGCGTTTAACCCTTAAACCATTTGAGATTCATAGAACTGGCTCTAAATTCATAAAAAATGTAATTTAATCTTTTAACCTTCTTTTAGAAAAAAAAATAGGGTGTTATAAGGGATCATTCTTTACGTGTCATCAACTCTTGAACTTATTTCTTTGATTTCATAGACCAAATTTTTTTATTTTAATAAGTTCTAATTTATAATATAACTTTATTAAAATGATAAAATTTCAAATCACGTGTAAACAGAAAAGATTGATGTCGACTTTGATAGAACTAAATTATAATACTAGATATAAAAGCGTACCTAAATTCAACATGACTCTTAACCATTTGATAGATATCGTTTTCGAACCTAGGACCTTTAGAGATAACAAACAATCCTTTAACTACCAATGTGGCTTAGTTCATACATATAAGAATTTAAGTTCTTACATCCTTGTAACATATTTAATTGAATAAACCCGTACTTACTTTTTTTGTATAATCATTTGTATTTGATCTATTCATCGATTAATCTAGATCGAGTACTACAAATGTTCATTATGGGTGAGACACTCCCAACTTAATTAGCTTCATTCACAACATCAAAATTCGAATCTTACTTAAAAATAATAATATTTTATCTCATTAAACAAACTGATTGTCGGTCAGTTAAAAAAGAAAAAGTTGTTGGTAAATATACACTTTATTTATCGGCCATTTGATTGTTTTGATGTTCCTTGAGGTTTTGCATGTTTACAAGATGGATTAGATTGTTGATATTGAATTTAATATAAATTTTTTTAAAAATAATGTTGAGGCTAATAAATAAAATTATGTAAGAACGGAATTAAAAAAAAGATTATAATATTAAAATTTACTTGATATGAGTTAAAGCCAAATGTTCATGCAAGAAACATATATTTGCAGACTGTAGGTTTGCTAAATCACTGTGGTATATATTCTATCTTAAACCTTTCTCATTTGCGTAAACCCCACATGTCTTGGGAAGTTATGATTGAATGGGCTTGTGATGAATGTAGGGGCAAATCACTCATCTTCGTCTTATTGAAAATTGTTTGGACTTCTTACATCTATTCGAATCTTTCAATGAAAAACTAGAGAAGCTGATCAAATTTTGCTAACCATCAAGGAAATTGTCCGGATATAGCTTAGAGGCAAAAACATCAATAAAAATGATAATGTCAACTTTAATCTTTACTGTAATTGGGGTATAGACTAACCATTATTTTGTTGTAAGTAATTGTTTATACTCTCTTTTGAGACGTTTCTTGTAGCAACATTGCTCCTTTAGATAATAAAATTTAACTTATCCAAAAACAAATGTTCATCCAACTTTTTGGACTTTATCTCCAATATACTGAACCTTTTATGAATCCTTTTCTGTGTATTGATTTTACCTATCAATTAAATTCTTTCTCCATAAGTTTTTATATATTATTACTATATAATTTCGAGGCAAACTTAGAAAGGAGAAACAATAATAAAGGAGTTATCCATAAGCAGGGATGGAGGAGTGATAGTCTTTTATAAATTTCAAACTTTTATATATTTTAAATATTTTTATATTTTTATTGAATATTTATTTTTTAAAATTTTATAAATCTGTTAATTAACATAAAATTACACGTCGGTAGCCAAAGTGTACCGAGAAATGCAGGCTAGAGTACAAAAACAAACGAAAAGACCAGTCATGAGATCCCATGGTTAGTTCTTGGTCAAAACCCTAGTCAAAGTGACCCCCCCAAGCAGTAGTTTTTGTACCTCTTTTTTCCTGGGCCTAGCTGGCAGATAGAAACAAAGCAAAAAAGCTTGCCGATGTGGCACTGATGCCTTTACATGTCTTGCCTTAAAAGACTAAATGGACATCTGTAGTATTCCCAAAAGAACAAAACTATACCTCGTCGCCACATAATTAAATTGCTTGTCCAAACAGTTGAAGGGTCTTTTATGTAATAATAATACTCCCCAATGTTACCACGTGACATCTTCTGCTACCGGTTTCTCTTCGCATTGCATGGGACTTATTTAAGAACCCCAAATGATTAGGGTGTTCTTAACCATGCAGTTTAGTCTTTTAATGTATATCTCTCTTGTCTGATCATGTTTAGAGGAGATATCCAGTGCTTCAAGTGTTCCATGTTGTTCATTGGCTTCTATAAGATATCACATTAATACTGCAGCTTTTTGTGCTGGAATTATACTTTTCAGTGAAGCTTAAGAGTCAAATGCCACATGGAAGTTTAAGGTTTGAGTGATGATTGGTGGATTATCCACTTTTTCCAGTATGCTTTCATTGTAACACTAAATCTTTTTTCTCCATCCCTAATTATCTAGTACCCTTTCCTAGAAAAAAGAAGTCTCTCTTTCTCTTTCTACTTTCTCTGAGAAATTTTTAGGGTTTGTTTTTGTGTCAGTTTGAGTGGATTTTGCTTGGCCTTTTCTTATAATGCTAGTTTCATAACACTTTCTCTCTCCCACCCTTCTTTTTTTTCTCTCTCTTGCCCTCACTTTGTGGGAATAATAAGTAGTTTTAGATTTCAACTTTAAAATTTGAAGATTCTTTTGATGATTTTAATGGCTTTTGTTGGTTCTCTCCTTTTCTTTTACATATAAGAATCAGAACATGTAATTCTCTTCTGGAAATCACCACCAACCATGAAACAGCATGATCTTTGATGTTTATTGTCATTGATCATTTTCATTGCCTAAGTTTCATTATTTTCAATTTTCTGTTGTAAGAAAGGGTTATTTAGGTGATGGATGATCAAGGTGGTAATATTATTGTGACCAGAGAATACAGGAAAGGGAACTGGACTGTTAATGAAACAATGGTGTTGATCGAGGCGAAAAAGATGGATGATGAGAGGAGAATGAAGAAAAGTGAGGGAAAACCAACGGAGCTGAGATGGAAATGGGTGGAAGATTATTGTTGGAGGAGAGGGTGTTTGAGGAGCCAAAATCAGTGCAATGATAAATGGGATAATCTCATGAGGGACTACAAGAAAGTGAGAGAGTACCAAAGGAGAACAGCTGAGAGAGGGGAAGGGAATGATACTGGTAGTAACTATTGGGAGATGGAGAAGAATGAAAGAAAAGAAAAGAGCTTGCCTACTAACATGTTGCGTCATATATATGAGCATTTGGAACAGGTGGTGGAGAAGAAAGGAGCTCAGAATGTGGTGGCTGCAGGTGCTAGTGGTGGCGGCTCGGTTCCCATCCCCAATAAACCTTATGTTATGGATACACCAATTACTAGCGTGCAACCTTCATTGCTACATCAACTTCCACCTATTCCAGCTGCAATTCCATTGCCTCTAACAGCACCACCGCCGCCAAACGCTGCTCCTGCACTACTACTACATCCACCCCTTTCGTATGCTCAGGCTCAGCCATTGCCCACAGTAGGTACTCTCCCCCTCTCTCGCTTCCCTTGCTCACATGCATTTCAATTTGCCATGTTCACAGACTTACAGACCATGATGATGCACTGATTTCAATATTGAACTACTGATTGATTTAATTGGTTCCATTTCTATGTCTTGGAGATGTACGTGATAGCTCAGATTCTGTACAAGCGAGCATTCAGGCTCACTAGCAAAGAGAAGGAGAAGATCAAGAGGTAATGGGGAAGGCGCTGCAAGTCCAAGCAACTCAAATGAAGTGGGAACTGCAATCTTCAAAAGTGCTTCCGTTATAGCAGAAGCCATCCAGGCCAGTGAGGAGAATGAGGAGAGAAGACATAGAGACCTTGTTATTTTACGCGAGAGAAGGCTAGAGATTGAGGAATCTAAGACAGAGATCAAAAGAAGAGGAATTGAGGGCCTGGTTGAAGCCATTAACAGGCTTGCTAATTCCATCATTGCTTTGGCTTCCCATAAAAACCAGTCAGCTCCAAAGTGATTCTCTTGATTATGATTCTAATTATGTCTTAATTAAAACTCTCTCATCTCCTTCATGTCATGTATTTAAACTCCCATGTCTTAACAAGGGTTAGTTGTAATACTACAAAAAAGTTAAATATAAGCAAATTGCTGTGCATTTGGGTTTATCTTCAAGGAAAGCATATATATATATATGGAGATGCCAAAGCCCTAATCTTTATTGTTCAAAACACAAGTTATTTGATTAGTATGTAGCTTTGGCTTCCCATAAAAACCAGTCAGCTCCAAAGTGATTCTCTTGATTATGATTCTAATTATGTCTTAATTAAAACTCTCTCATCTCCTTCATGTTAAACTCCCATGTCTTAACAAGGGTTAGTTGTAATACTACAAAAAAGTTAAATATAAGAAGATTGTTGTGCATTTGGGTTTATCTTCAAGGACATCATATATATATATAGATATATGGAGATGCCAAAACCCTAATCTTTATTGTTCAAAACACAAGTTATTTGATTAGTATGTAGTGATTATAAGGTTCTGATTTTTTTTTAATTTAGTGACACCGCTTACACATTGCATACGCACCTTACTTTTTACCACTAAGTCTACTCAATGGTTCTCAAAACTCAAGTTACTTCAAGTAAACAATTAGGGGTATAAATGAACAAAACGTTCGACGAATTATTCGTGAACTGTTCGTATAATATTTACTTATTAAACTAATAAATGAGTATGAATAAATATATTATGTTTATTTAACAAATAAACAAACACAAATATATATATATATATATATTTGATTCATTTATGTTCGTGAATAAACTTATTTATTATCTCATTTACAAGCAAGTTGATTTACACCCTTACAAGCGATCCTTTCAAAAGTTGATAATTCTGATACACTGATTTGGAGTGTGAATCACACATGGGAGCGGGAAGCTGCTTAACTTATCATTCAATCATATATGAAGTAGCAATGTGAGAGAAGTGGGGCAGCAACTGGTGGCATTGACCAGTATTTCTGGGTCAAAAGCGACCAGTCAAAGGATCTCTGAACTGAACCTTCTGACTCTGACCAGAAGGATGCTGTCGTTCAATAACTTTACAGAAATGCCATTGTAGGCACTGTTCTTAGGTCAAAGTTTTAAAATTAAACATTTCATTCATCATGTCATCTGTGCACTCAAAAACAAAAAAGTTTGCAAGATTTCTCACAATTATACCCTGCATTTTAATAGCATATCATTAGATATTTTGGTGCATGTGATTTTGTTTTTAATTTTTTTTCACCTATGCGAGTTCTAATATTAAAACTGTTAATATTTTTTTATCAATATATGTAATTAAATATAATTTTTTTAATGAATAAATAGAATCTCTTTCTAATTATTTTTGATGTCAAACTTTTAAAAAATTATATATGAAATTTTCTAAGGAATAGCTATGACATTGTTGAAGTTGATTTTAACTTAATCGAGTTATAAGAATCCATCAATTCCTTATACCCAATCCGAACCAGTATCCTTCCTTTTCAATATCATCATATATCACTTCTATTTCTATTTAAAAAGGAAACTTACTTTCTTCTCCTATATCTTTTATTTTTTTATCAATCCTTTCCCTTTGATTTTATTGAATTATGGGGATCCAATCTTTCGTGTATTCAGTTCAAAAAACTTGATGGTATCGATGCTCCAGTTTTATTTAACTTAGATTTCAATGATGATATCGACAATGAAATAAAAAATTATGAGTGACTATATAAAGAATATATTAAATTATCTAACGAATAGTCAAACTTTCTTAGCAAAATGAAAATATCTAATTGGTTGTCACAATTTGCAAGATTATATATATATATATATATATATATATATATATATTATATATATATATATATATATTGAACAAAAATCTATTTCTACCAGCCTACCCTTCTATTCATGATATCTCAGTACCCATCACCCTTCTTCTTGGCCACAATCTCAACCACCTTCGAGCACTCTAAACTAGACACGGCACTCTGTCCGTGCCATCCCTGAACCTAAAAAATGCCTTCAAAAGAGGATTATCGAAAAACTTGATAGTATTTTAAGAGATACTTTTGAAGATAGGGTAAAAAGTTTAGTACCTAAACTATTATTTTTGCTTGTTTTGGTGTTTAAACTTTATTTAAAAAAAATCATATTTAACGTTTAGTTTAAGTTTCATTTTGGTATTAAAACTTAATAGTGATTTTGATGTGTCACCATAAAATAATATCACGTCCTCGTTGATTTACAAATATGAATATTATCTAAAAATGTCGAAGCTCAATTGGTTTATATTTAAGAAAGAGTAAACTACATCAATGATCACTTAACTATTTAACCCTTTTACTTTTATCATCAATCTTTTAATTTTGTCAATCAGACCATTAAATTATTTAATTGTTGTCAATCAAACCACTCGTCATTAACATTTAATGGATTAGCTAATGTGATAGTTAAAATATCTTGTATAATTATATATGTGGTTCTTATTATTTAATTTAATATATTTATTTTCTACCAATCAGAGGGTGACACATGGTTGAAAAAAACCCAAGCAAAATTAGGGACAAAAGAATTCAAACCAAGGGGATGTCTAAGGTACGACATCCATAATATACGAATAAAGAAAGACGCTACCAAATATGTTAATATTTTTTTAACATTTTCGATAAAGCGCTATATAAAACATTATTTTTCTACAGGAAATGTTAATATTGAGCGCCACCTAAAATGTTTAATATTTCCGGTAAAACGCTACATAAACCATTGTTTTTCTACCAAAAACTAGATAGCAAAATTCACATTTCCAGTAAAAAAAAATGTTTTAGGTAGTGTTTTACCAAAAATGTTAAAAAATATTAACATTTTCAATAGAATCTTTCCTTAAATGTATATTAAAACTGTCGTACAGCAGAACTATCTAATCAAGACTGATTGGAAAATCAAGTAAACTTTACCAAACCAAGACCACTGCATCATTTAAAGTAGACAATATTATATATATATATATATATATTGTGTATAACTTAAATTCATAATATTTTATATATATTTGAAATTATATTTTATTTATAAGTTTAATATAAAAATAAGTATCTAAATTATATAGTATTTTTATTTAAATATCTAAATTATTTTACGATCAATTTATGTATCTAACGTTATAACAATTATCATTTTTAATATATTAATCGTAACAACAGTTAAAAAAATCGTTAAATGACTCCTATTGTGTTTAGAAATTTAATTAAAAATTTAATACCATCACCATTGACGAACACCCACCCACTACGGACAACCCACCTTCTTACCAACGCGACACCACTGTTCATATACGGAGAAAATAGGAGTGGGATAAGGGGAAAGAGGGAATTTACATTCACTGGGTTAGAGGGAGGGAGTAGATAAGAGTGGGGGAATAAGAAAGGAAAGAGGGAATTTACATTCACTGGGTTAGAGGGAGGGAGGAGATAAGAGTGGGGGAATAAGAAAGGACACTTATAATAATAACATTTGTAATTTTAGGTAATTAAAAAATAATTAAGACACTTATATAAAAGAATATAGTTTGAGTACTTGTTAGGAGTAAAATTTACTAAATTGAAATTGATTTAAAACTCTTAATTGATCCTCTCATTTTTTTTAAAAAATTGTAGGTTAAATACTAATTAAGAGTAAAGTTATCTTCTATGTTTAAATAAAAATTGTTAAAATTACATCACATATAAAAAACATTCATATTTTTCTTTAACGATTAAATCTAAAAAATACAAATTTGATATTAATTATCAAAGAATATTATTCTAGTATTTACTTTTTTTTAATTGTTGATACTGGAGTAATTTAGCCTTAAATTTGATCCAGTACAAAAACAAAAACAATAACAGAAAGAGAAGGTGAGGAAAGAATAAGAAACACCAATGGCTCGGCCTTTGCCACGTGGATTTATATTTATAAAAATTAAAAAAAGCGAAAAGGACAAAAGAAAATTCCAATGAAGAAAGAGAAAATAAAAAAAAGCAGTCGCTGTCGTGCTTGGGTTGAAGAGTCATTGGTAATTTTCCATAAGAGGTGTTGAGGATGATCTTTCCCTTTGCTTTTACCCTTTGGATTTAACATCACGTCTTCTCAATTCCCTTTTCTTTACTTGTTCGTCAACGCATCCAACAAGCCTCAATTCTCAATCTTTTCCTTTATCCCATAATCTTTTTTTTTGTGTGTGGGAACATTAATCCGATTACAGAGGATTTCATTCTCATGGCCACCACTGGAAATAAGAACATCAATGCTAAATTAGTCTCTCTCTCTCTCTCTCTCTCTCGTGATTTAAACCCTCTTTTGGTTTTATAAGATTTGTTTATTTTCACTAGTATTTGATGCTTTGGGTCTGGTTTAGATGCTGAATTCTGATCTGGGTCCTGATGAATTGTTGATCATGCTTTTTTTTTTGTATGAACTGTGATATGGGTTTAGTTTATGTTTGCAATTAAAAATTGTTTTTATTTTTTTGGGTTTGTTTTAGATTTGATCAAATCCCGTCTGAGTTTTGCTTACATCCTGTAGGTTCTTTTTCTTTGATATCTCATTAAGCACCTGATTTAGGCTGATTGAATTGTGCAAATTTCTCTCTTTTCGTCATTTATAAAGCTTAGGGTATATTTTTATTATTTCCAAAGCTTTGAGATTTTGTTAAAATTATGTGCTTAAGGTTTATGCCTAATTTCTCTGGTACTTGTTGTTCAGATTGTTGATATTTACCGATGTTTTTGTTGCCTGTATTTGTTGTTAATATGTAATTTATTCTTCAGGTTCTACTTGGGGATGTTGGAGCTGGAAAGTCTAGCCTTGTGTTGCGCTTTGTGAAAGGGCAATTTGTTGAATTTCAGGTTGTTGGTGTTCTTATATTTAAGATAGAAAATGCATTAATAAAAAAAATCAGTAGTAAAATTATAATTTGATATTTATCTTATTATCATGTAGGAATCAACAATAGGTGCGGCTTTCTTTTCCCAGACATTGGCTGTGAATGATGCTACTGTAAAGTTTGAGATTTGGGATACGGCTGGCCAAGAGAGGTACCATAGCTTAGCACCAATGTACTACAGAGGAGCTGCAGCCGCGATCATTGTGTATGATATGACAAATCAAGTAAGTGTGTTCTCTGTGTGGTTTGGTCATCGAGCCACTAAATTGTCTATTGCTCTAAAGGTGACATTGTGAGATGAAGTATTAAAACTTTGGGAGCATGTAGGTCATACTTCGTTCAATTCCCTATTGTTCTGTTTTCTTGGTGCTTTTGCTCTCTGCTGTTTGCCCCTTTTGTAAGTTATTTTTGCATTTATTGCTTTTCATTTTTTATATAAAAAAAGTGAAAAATGCTAACCAGACAGCGCCTGAGCATTACTGGTATGAGGGCAATCTTCATATGAATCTAATTTTGTGATTTTTTGCAATTATATGTTTTTGAATGGTTTTATGCCTTGATCACTATTGTTGGCATCTTCTCCAAAATCATGTTACGATATCGTTTAAAGAATTATCAAATCCGAGGCTTGTTATTTGAAGGAAAAACAAAGGTTATCTTCAGATTGCTGTTCTCTCTTCTTTCCTCTTTAATTATTTTGTTTGATAATTTTTCTTTTTTGTATGTAAAGTTGCTTGTTTTTCCCCTTGAAGGAAGAGGGTGGGGAGTGAAGGGGTTTATATTTGAGGCATTTTTAGTGTATTATCTATTCACTATTACAATTTGTCACCACATTAAAGTTTAGATTTGCAAGGATTTTAAATTTTTAAGAACTTGGCGAAATTTTTAGTTTGGAATGGCTTTCAGTATCCAAAGAATGGTAATAGCATTCTTCTTACTTTGTAGGCATCATTTGAGAGAGCCAAGAAATGGGTCCAAGAACTTCAAGCCCAAGGTAGTATTTTGCCTTTTCCATTCCTTGACGTTATCCTTCTTGATTGTCAATATATCCATTTTTTTCCTTCTTAAATGTTTAATTTTAAGGACTCTTGATTGATTGAATTCTAAGTCTCTGTTTTAATTCGTTTTCTTTTCCTGTGAAGGCAATCCTAATATGGTAATGGCTCTTGCTGGGAACAAAGCTGATTTACTAGATGCAAGAAAGGTGGAACCGGAGGCAAGTTTTCAGTTTTTTTTTTTAGTTCACCTCACTTTTTCTTTAAAATGTAAACATATATTATTACTTTTAATCATTAATTATGAGCATTCTGGGTTTCTCTGCTTCCAATTTTTTGACACTTCAAAACAACTCATCTCTTTGAGATGGTAAAAGGTCAATTGGTCAAATGGAATCATGGTCCAATTTTGTTTTTGACTTCAAACTACATGCAAATCTCTATTTGACTTATTCTCCTTGGTGATTCAGGAGGCACAAACTTATGCTCAGGAGAATGGTCTTTTCTTCATGGAAACTTCTGCAAAGACCGCATCCAATGTCAATGAAGTTTTCCATGAAATAGGTGCTTTATATGTTGTTTTGTTAAATTTTCTAAAAGCATGCAGTATTTGTTTTGTGAAGTTGCAATCGACTTATTTTTTTATTTCATGCAGCTAAAAGATTGCCTCGAGTTCAGCCAGCACAGAATCCTGCTGGAATGGTTCTCATCGATAGACCTGCAGAACGGGCAGCAAGTGCATCTTGTTGCTCTTAGACGATGTTGTTGTTTCCCGCGTGTATCTTCTAAATAGATCCTGTAATGCTCAATGGCTCTGCAATCAGAGTTTTATCTTTCCTTTACCCTGTTTGACGAATCATTCAGGGCTGTACATGAATGTTGTCTAGAGGCATTGATGTTGACCCGTTTATGATGTTGGAGATTGGTTTTTCATGTAACTAAAAATGGTAATGCTATGCTTATGTTCAAATAAATATGACATTGATGGTGTTGACTTGGCTGCTTGTTTTACAACTCGTGTGTATAGCTCTTAGGCTTTGATAACATTTTTCTGAATATATCTGGATTGGGGTCTTGTCTATGACCTAAACTCCATAGGTGGAAAGGATTTAAGGACTTGTTATCATCCATAGGAATGGTTTGGGAGCTTTCTTCTCATTCGTGGCTTGATCCGAGACAAACCATCTTTTGTCGACTTCGAAATAGTTGAACTCAATGTGACTTGAATGTAGTTTATGCTAACGATTGATTGCATCATAGAAACAATTTTTCTGCCTCTTTTTGGATATTACTGATAATATAGTTTAATAAAGTTGGTCCACCATATTTATATTCTCTGCAGCTAAGCTAGAATGACCAGCTTGTTTTTCTTAATTAATCCAAAACCAAAACGTTACAGCCCCAGAATCTAGTTTGCACATTAACTCAACGAGTACAAAACTAACTTCATTAAAATAAGGAAAGTTGCAACATATTATTCAAATAAGAACTAGCATTAAAATCATTTCTTATGAAGTCCCTGAGATGCTGCGGCGGCTGCACAGTCCATCGGTTGAAACCCAATTCTCTCTTTCTCCAAATCATAAACAACTTCCACATTTTGCTGTTGGAAGTTCCCAAATACACCAGCTGGTCCATAGTTGCTATCATCCATGCTTTGGAACAACAGGCATTTCACCCCAGTTGAATTAATTGGAGCACTCATGGCGTAGAAGTAATTAGCTTGTGGCAGAACAAGGCTCACATTGTTTAGGAAATGAAAAGTGATGGAAGGGAAAGAATCAGTTGTGAATCTGTTATTTGGACATGGAACTCTATAACAGAGATCGAATCCGGTTTGTGTCTCGACATCCGTGGCCCGAGGATAAGTTATTGCTGATTGGAGCATTGAGAGAAGTTGAGAATAGAATGGTTCAGGGAGGTGAGTGTAAGTGGTGCCTGAATCAATCAACATTCCCCCATTACCTTGAGAATCGAACTCTCTCAAGTTTAAAGGAACTCTAGCAGAGCTAATGTCGCCGACAGTTATGGCCTCTAGACCAATGTAGTAGTAGTTTGGAAACATGGGACTCTTCAACATTGGGGTGAACTGTATATTGTCATTGGAAGATACAGCAATGTCTCCCATGAACAATGGGCTTGAAATACTCTGATTGTTGGCATACTTGAAAGCTAAGAAGCAATGGGAAAACCCTTTTTGGAGGAACCCTAACTGTGATGGTAGAGAAAGTACGCCCCTACCAAACCCTGCAATGCCAATAGGTTCTCTATAAGTAGAGCCGACACAACCAAAAGAAAACCTGGGAAGATCCTTAGTGATATCAGGGTTACTACCATGGACCCTAAGGTTATCCCTGGTTAGTGTCCCTGTGACTAGCCCTCCTTCACCATAGGAATAGGCAAAGGAAGGACAAGGCCTAGAGCAGGTGGCTTTGAGAAGGGAACTTAATGAACATCCGGCCTCGATGCATGTATCGAAAGAGTTATCAGAGCTATGAATATCTATGCAAAAAGAGCTACCGCAGGTGTCCCTAACAGATGATGAAGAATATGAAGTGGAGAAAGTGCCTATTAACTTATTGTTCCTATAGTCATCACAATCTAGACAATCAAAGGATAGATTCCCACAAGGAACCCAAGTCAGGTCACTCCCGGTATCCATGTAAACTTGAATGACCTGTCTTGGTGTTCCTATATTTAAAGTCAGCAAGTACCCATCTCTTACTGCCCTCAATGGCTCAACCATATCTGAAGCTTGTGAAAGTCTTTTTATTGAGTATTTGGTAGGTTTAGGTATGGTGAAGGTAGGGCTAGAACGAGTTAGACCAAGAACAACTGAATTAGGGTTTCTGTTCCCAGCTTGGATTTGATTGAAACTGAAGAAGGAAATGAGTAGGAATAAAAGAATGGTGGTAGTGGTTGAGTAAGATGTTGCCATTGGACTCAATCTATCTATTTTTTTTTCTCTGATATGAATTTGCATCTGCAGAAAGGAATTTATAGCTGAAACCAGGCTACGCTACGTATATAAACAGATGTTGCATGATGTTAACAATGTGAGCCGCATTCATCCCCACCACCATCTCCATGAATCATGATGATAAAAAAGAGTTCTAAAAAGGGTTTATATTTATTTATTCAGTTCTTTGCATGGATGTTGGTTGAAGTACAAATGGAAGGCAAGCGGCGGTCTCTGAATGGATAATTACAGGGTGATTTGCTGACAAAATCGGCTTTGAAGCTTAGTTGAAGTGCGCATGCGAAATTTTATAGTATGTTTTTAAGTTATTTTGTTAATGTGATGCAAGCAAAACAAAGAGGAAGCCATGTTTGAGTCTCATGTGAAGCAGGAGCTTCCATGGAATATTATAATGGCATCGGCATCAAGCTTACATCTGATGATAGTGGCGAGCACGTATCACATTCACTTCGGTAAAACAACTGCTAGATCTTTAGAGGAAAACATTTTTACACCAGTTAAGTTATTTTAAAACTAAGGTAATTTTCTTGGCTTGGCTTAGAAATTCTGATATGATCTTTAAATTTCCAAATCGATTCAGAAAACTTCAAAGGAGATATTGAAGATGGAAATTTATTTAGCAGGCCAAAACATATAATAAGAGTGGGGTTGACAATATTGTAGACCGAATCCATTTTGTTTTCAGTTTGTCTAATTTTAGTTATTGGTTTTTGAAAAAATAACATTTTGATCACTTTTATTTTTGGTTTGTCTTAAAACCTTTATCACATCTCCACACGAAATACAAGAGCCCTTCGCCTATTTCTTGGGTTAAGTTGTTGAGCGTAAAGAGATTCTACAATACGATTATCAAAGGTTCCTTCCTTTTCTTTCTATAAAGATAAAATAGCTCACAAGAATCCACCATGCCGTTCCGACCAAATGACATGACACTATTTCATAATGATCCAACACCTCACTCCCGAAGTTGTGCATGAGAAAATAAAATTTGACTTGTAAAATGAAAAGGGGAAGGTAAAACCATGTTGGGTTCCCATCACTACCATCTTCATGGTCGCTCATACTGTGCGAACCAGAGAGGAGGCCAAACTCGAACTCATAGTTTTCTTACGATACACCACAACTCAACAGCTAATTCTTGACCTTGAGCCAAAGAGTTGTGCATTAAAAAATACTACCATTCGCTGGTCGTTGACAGATCGCTTCAATCTTCTCTTCATCTCTCACAGTTTTCACGTTGTTCTTCTTCGATGTCATGACATCAAGCTTAGATGATCTTGCAAAGGGAAAACAACAACGCTAAAGGATCTGCGTCTACCACTCTAAATCCTCATATGTAACATACGAAACGATACATCCCCAACGGTAAAAAAGACACACCACTTCATCGTGTCAAACACAAGACTCCACATATTTAGACTCTAAATCCTATTAAAGTTTTGTAACACTTAAATGATTATGTCATGGGTCAAGCCACTTTATGATATTCTCTCAACAAATAGGGGACAAATGTTGTATCTCCGTTAAAAATCTTTTGCACACACATCATTTCTGTGCCTCACATCTACCGGAGGACCTTAAGGCATCGTCAACCCTCCAGAACCTAGGGAATTCCAAAAGACATAGAGAGGGAGCATCTCCTAAAGAGGTCTCTCGAATATCAAACATCTCTTGGGAAGTCATAACTTAATGATAAGACCTCTGAGAAGCCTACGTGATCCATCAAGGTTAAATCTAATGCCACCTGATCATATCCGCTTAGGCTACCGGCCTACGGATAGTCACAATATCCCTATGACCGACACTCAAACTAAACATCATTATACATCTCCTAAAGAGGTCTCTCGAATATCAAACATCTCTTGGGAAGTCATAACTTAATGATAAGACCTCTGAGAAGCTACGTGATCCATCAAGGTTAAATCTAATGCCACCTGATCATATCCGCTTAGGCTACCGGCCTACGGATAGTCACAATATCCCTATGACCGACACTCAAACTAAACATCATTATAAAATCTCTCAACCAAGATTGAAAGACGAGATGTGACCTAAATGAAAGCACCTCAACTTACATTCTCATATCTAATCGACTAGCGATCGATCTACCATCAACTGCGATTTTTTGTTTAAATTAAAAGGGATGAATCATCTATAACCGCCGTAACTCAATTGATCCATCAACACTAGTTAACTCAAAAGCTTGATGGTGAAAATAACCCTTTTTATTTATTTTATATTTAGAAGGAAGACAAGCTGAAACAAAGGCTGCGTTGCCTTAATTTAACGTTTTAAGTTTGTACTTGGAGTTACATAATCAAAGGAGATAGTGGCTATCATGCGGCTTTGGGGACTTAAATGATTAAACTAATAACATCATTCTTTGGACCAAAATCCTTCTTTTCAGCGGGCAATGACATGGATATGACGCGAAGATCCATAAACTTGAGCACCATTATAACATTAAGCACAAACTGATGATCAACCGTCACACAAACATCACATGCTTTTTACTTCATCTGGCAATGTCGTGTCTCTAAATTTAGTATACTAAACAATATCACACCACTTTCTAAAACATTACTCTTTCGAACAACTCATGTATTGTACTTGCTACATTATTATTAACCAGCTACTTTGTTCTCAACTGGCATAATTTAAAAGAGGTGGCACTGCATTTTCCTGCACAAAAATTCAAGCTTTTTATTAATATTGCAAGTATCTTAACAGTTTTTCACTTGTTCGAGGTTGTTTTTAGTTTATTAAACTTTCTAGCAGGGTAAGCAAAATTCGACTCGACTCAAATTGATTTCGAGTTGTAATTTTATAAATTTGACTTCACTCCAAAAGGTTTCAATTTCAAATCGAGTTGTTAAATACAACTCGAATAACTCGAAACTTTTTGTAATTACTGGATTGATTTTTAAGTTTGATTCGAGTCCCTTGACTCTGTATGAATATGTATATCACATATGAAGAAATATATACAATTTAAATTGGAATATGTATGAAAACTATTTAAATTGGAATCAAATAATAACATAATATTATAAATATTTACAATTTAATTTAAACAAAAACTCAACAAATCGACTCAAAAAAATTTCAAGTCAACTTCGAGTTATAAAATAAGACTCGTCAACTCGAATAACTTAATTTTTTTACTCAATTCCGACTCGGCTCGATCGAACATTCACTTCTACTTTCTAGTGAGATTAGAATGGTAAAGTGATGACCAAATTTGAATCGATCGATAAATTTTAGATTAATTCGTAGATTATTCTATTATGGTTGGACAAGGTGGGGTAGGGTATGGTGACTATGAATGTATTTAGTGGTGGATGCACATTTAGTTTAGAGTGAATAAGTGTCCACTTAAAATTTTGAATTTATTTCTATTAATTATTTATTTTGTTGATTATATCCATTGAAACCCAGATTTTCTTTTCTTTTTGATAAATTTTGTGTTGTTCATATAGGTATATGAGTGTATCAATCCTAAAAAAATATTTATGGATCTGTCACTGATTGTCTTCTAAATATGTAAAAGTGATAATGATATTCAAATTTTAGTATATACAATAAAAAAATTGAGAGTGGAGACAAAGCATGCTAACAATGAAATAATAATGAATTTGATAATATTTTTCTTTGTTTCATTCTGGTACCATTTTAAAATGCGTTTAAACTTTGATTAAACATTGATGTAATAAGTAGAAGAGATTCAAGAGGGAGAAACAAACTAAAAAAAGTGAAGACAAAACAGAAAGAATAAAACGTTGGTGGTCGTACCAAAACTTTATAGAAACAAAATGAGGTTGAAGATTCGTCCTAACGCATTAATGAGTGAGTAGGTAATATATATCCTAATCTTAACGGACTATGGAAATATTTCAAGTGGCTTTCTTTTACATTACAATATTTTTTAAACTGACTTTTGGATCTCTGCTATGATATGTGCTTAATGAACAATCCAGCTAATCTCTGGCAACCCTAATATTGATCATTGAAGAAACTTCGAGAACCATCACGGCTAAGTTTTCTTTTAATTGAAGAAACTAAGAAAGGATTAAGGGTCACTTTTGCCCCGTAGTAGATCCGATTTATCATTTTCGTCCCCATCGTATTTTCGTATTAATTTAGCCCTCAAATTTATTTAAATGCATCATACTATATCTTACCTCTAACTTAAAACCCTAAATCCTAAACCTTAATCTCCAACTTAAAACAATCAATTTAGGGTTTTAAGTGAGGGATAGGGTATGGAATGACACAATTGAGTAACTTCGAAAACTAAATTGATGTAAAAATACGATAAGGATGAAAATGATAAATTGAGTCTACTGCAAAAATAACCCTTTTACCATTAAAAACAATAATTCATCGGTAAATAAGAACAAAAATATCTCTCCAATAATTAAATCTTGAATTTCTTTTAGAACGGTACTATCGAAGATTGTTTAAAACTGTTGAGAGTTTATCATTATAGTCGTTTTATCGATTTTATCTTTACGAAATTTATCATTTTAGTCGTTTTGTCGATTATTATATTATCTTTAGGAAATTTATCATTTTAATCGTTTTATCGATTATTATATTATCTTTACTATAAATGTATTATATTTTCGTCATCAACATCTTTATCACAACTTAAATATTATTCCAGCCATTAAAAAAATTATTACTGGCCTCTAAATATTCCACCACATTTACAACTTAGACATTGTTAATTTAAACCTGAAGATATTTGAAACTACCCCAATTTTAGGATTAAAAGTTTTGAAAAATTGTTTACAATTATTTAAATAAATTTTAAACCAATTTCCTTAATTTTAAAATTCAGTTAGAAGAAAAATTAAAATTTAAAAAACTAATTCAAATAAATTCATCACTGTAGAAGAAGTCAGCCCCAAATCATTTACATAAGTTTATATGTGGAGAAGTCCAAAAGCTTTGTTGAAACTACAATATAGAAAGACCGAAAAAATATTTTATTTAAGGTATCAAAAAGTCTCAAAAACA